ACCGTCCAGCTGCCTTGCGGGTCAGGCTTTGGTTAGCCGAAGGCTCCGGTTGTGAATTCCTCAAGAAAATTCACCTGGCTTGGCTTGGGCAACCTGGCAGTATTCAGCTCACAAGTCAATCATGGAACGTTTTTGTTTCTTTTTATAAAGATTATTGTACCATGATTTGCCTGGCACACAGTCTATCCTCAGACAAGTGGGATATATATATATATATATATATATGTGCTTCGGTGGAAAAATCGTTATCACGCGTAACAGTCGTCTATTGCACTGTGCAGCTCCACGATGGAGAAAATCACGTAAAGGTCATCAGATAATGTGACAAAAGTACAAAACATTACGCAACAAGAGTAGAAGGATAGGTATCTCCCATATTCCTGATTGGGGTCCAGTAGATTGTCAATGGTTGGTTGGCGACACTAAATGAAAGGTAGCGAACTGATATCAGTGACGTTCTTGTCGTCACTTCTTATCAGACCGGATTGTAGAGCTGTGAGGATACATATTCTCCGTATGGTGACCATATTAGTTCTCTTTCGTTTCCCCTCCCTCAGAACAGGCTAACTTCTTTTATACCTCAATTTGTATACATTACGAGCTTAGCGGGAATCACCGAAGTTCGTTTCACTACATTTTATTGTGCGATGACGATCACAAAGCTGAGTGTTTCGAGTTGAACGAAGAGTTTGACAAGGTTTCAGTTTAACATCGAGAAGCCTATTGGTTGTTTGGGCGAAGGAACAAAAAGCAAGATCAAATATACCCTGTTTGAACAACTGGGGTCAATTATTGCACTGTTTGACAGATCCAACTCTGCACGTGTGGCATGTCTATGAGATTTAATTTATTTTCGTTTCAATGGATCGCTTTCTAAAAGTGCACGAAGCTCGATTATGCCATTGTCATCATAATCGTATAGCAGAACGCTATGAAGCGAACTTCACTGATCGCTGCCAAGTTCACAATATACAAAGTAAATAACAATGTATGAGATGATTAGGGAGTGGGTCCAATGGGTCGAAAAGCAAGTGAACCTCCATGGTCAACACAGAGTACACAGTCTATGTATCTTTGCATGTATAACTTTTAATGCATTGTGATCCGATAAGAAGTTACAACAAGGACGCCACTGCTGTCGTGTGATAGTGGGATGCGCTACTAGGTTATTTCTGTTGCCGCAAAGAAATCAGTTAGTTGTGCAGGCCTCATATATTTACTTTGTACGAATCAGGATTCGTGTGTTCTGGAGGCACATTTTGTTTAAGAGAAAAGTGCAAGTTTTAAATCATGCTTAAAATGTAGTTTTCATGTCCTTTGCGTAGCCCCTGGGTGTGATGAACAACAGAGGAGATGAACCCCCTAGTCTATGAATCTACTGTTCAGTTCTGGGAACCGGCAACCTAAGCCTTGGTATTTCGAGCAACTAATTGTTTAGTTCCCAGTATAATAGGCGTGGCCTTGCATTGAACGGTAGTGTAGCCGTCTACCACCACTAACGTTCACCTGCAACGTACTCAATGAACTTTGGCATTTATTTGACTGATTTACTAATAAATGGATTCCATCCTCAATGCGGCTTCTCGATTTACTCCTCATAAACGTAGGACTAAGTAAGAATTAGCATTTCCGACCGAGTTATCGTGTGCCCGTTTCATTCGGTAAAAACTGGAGCGGAAACTATCTTGTCTATACAGACAACGATTTCGTCAACCGGAGAAGATCAAACGATTTGACTGTTTTTTTTTCTATTTTGCCTTCAAGCCATGTGTTTATCAAACACATAACTCTCATTGCTCCATGGTATTCAACTGCAACTAACCTCAATGTCCCTCCGCCCAACCCCGTCGTTCATTGTTTTCTGTCCTCACACTCAGATGCGGATGAAAGCCCTGGTCAGCGGTGGCAAGACTATCAGCTCTGATGTGATCTCTTTGAATGTGAAAGGACCGGGTCTTCAACGAATGGTGCTCGTCGATTTACCCGGTATCATTTCCACTGTCACAACAGGCATGCAAGCCGACACACGGGAAACAATTCAGCGAATGGCTAAACATTATATGGGAAATCCAAATGCCATTATTCTTTGTGTTCAAGGTTAGTTTGTAGTTTCGTGTTTCTTGTCATTTGTCCGATTTATTTATCCGACGGAAGAATATGCATTTCCAAAGGGATCTTTCATAGAGACAGGTCACCATATCTGTTAAACTTTAGATAAGAACGAATAAATTGCAGAGAACACTGCAATTAACAAGAAGACTATTTGATGACCAGTCTGCCAACTATGGGCGATTCACGGCTGTCCGAAAATTTGGTCAAAGGAAGTTGAGTTTTTCATTCGCTTTGCGTTGAAAGTTGTTATTATTGTGGCAGTTTTTGGAGTTATGTTTGTTTGCGAACGAGGTGGACACATAGGCCCCAGTAATTGTAGCCAGCTTGGGGTTGTGGGTGTGAGTGCCTTTAGTTCGGGTGTGGTCCTTTTCGATAGCGGAATAAGATATTCATTGAAAGTGATAATGATAGTGGTGGAAAAGAGTGATAGGCATCTGTATACATTTGTTTGGAAAGAATTATGTTCGAATACAAGATTGCTCACATTTTTTTCTACCACATCGAAACCCGAAGGAAACAAGATGGCCATATGGAAAACTGTAGACATGAGACGGTAGCATGGGGTGAACTGAGGGAGTAGCCAGAGCGGAATGGAGTATGATTTCATTTGAGAACGTCCACTAACATGCTGGCGTTTTGGTAAAAAAATGCGTAGGGTGCGGTCCCCTTCCCGAAAGTTCGTTTTGCAATAAATGCAATTTGGATTCTGATACTATTACTATCGATATGCATTATTTCCGTGGTATTAAAAACAATAATTCACCGGATCCAACAGTCATACGTAAATATACCCACATCAGATATCGTATGCACTGCCAGAAGTCGGTTGAATGGAATTATATTGCGTCACTAGGAAAGCGGAGACCAGAAATTTATGAAGCCGAAAATGTCGAAACGAATAGACGGTATCGAATAATGATCAGGACTGGCAGTGACCGATATGTGCGATTTTCGTTCCTCTTTCTCGTTTCAACTAGACGAATTTTATCTGGTTTATAACCCTATTTCATCGGAAAGTTTTCTCAGAAAACTGTTGCTTCGCAGTGCTTACGTGGACCTGTTATCTCACAAGCATAGTAACAAGCGTTTGAAAAAAAGAGATGCGTAGTTCCATATCGTATTAGAGAAACTGGTATGTTCCAAGTGATTATTTGGGGATGGCTATCTGCACGTTTCGTTGCATTCGGGTTATGCATTCCAAGCCACACAAATTTAATCGTGTTCACCAGATGGGCCTTCCCATACACGTTCATTCCACCTATTATGAAATTGAACGGATGAGTGTCCGTTGTCCGGTATTGCTAATGATCAAGCTTCAGCGAATTGTCTGTCCTTTATAAGCGACAACTTTGTGTCAATCATTGTGTGAGAGCAACAACTTGTTTTTTCACATCGCATTCTTCTCATACACTTTTTTATATTAGTTACACACCTGATCATCTTCATTATTGACGTATTCGACATAGCGAAATCACTTTAACACTCATTAACACATGTCTCATTATCTGGCCCGATACAGACGGTAGTATTGACGCGGAGCGTAGTAATGTGACAGATCTGGTCTCTTCTGTGGATCCAACCGGCAAACGCACTATATTTGTTCTAACCAAAGTCGATCTTGCTGAGGCTAATTTATACAATCCAGACCGGGTAATTTCTCATTCAAAACAGCTCGTTCAGCTGATAACTTGATTCCCGCAAAACAGATCAAGCAGATTCTTGAAGGCAAATTGTTTCCCATGAAAGCCCTGGGTTACTTCGCAGTGGTTACCGGTAGAGGTAAGTCTGTCCAGTTTTTCCTCTTACGGGCATTTTTCATCCTACTGTGACAGGTTCGAAGGACGAGAGTATCGAGAGTATAAAAGAATACGAAGAAGAATTCTTCCGCAAGTCTCGTCTGTTCCGCGAGGGCACGTTGCGTCTATCCCAAATGACAACAGCCAACCTGAGCAAAGCAGTGTCCGAGCGGTTCTGGAAAATGGTGAAAGATTCCGTGGAGCAGCAAGCGGACACTTACCGAGGTGAGTAAACTAATCTTGCTCGGTTAAGTTTCCTTATATTGTGAGAGTATGTTCTTGAAGAGTACCAAGCTCTAAATTCTGCACTCCGTGTGTGTGTATTTATCGATTCATTCGGTCGAAAACATACACTGTCCGGCCGCGACCTCCATTTTTTTCTTATACAGTTTAGTTCAGTTCGTAAAACCATTAACAATGCACTATCGTGCACCAGCTTTGGTTGCTGTCTTTTGGCTGCCCATTTGGATGAACATTAGGAGAAAGACAGAAAAGGTTGAAAGTAGGATCAAGGAGAAAATTTAGAATTTCAGAGGACTAATATTACGGAGAAATTGAGATGCACGAATGCCACTGTTTACGACACGCAGCCATATCACTGAGTGTCTCTAACCATCGGGTACGATCATCCCGAGGTCCCCAGCCAGGGAGCCTAACGGGACCTATGTGACCCAGTCCCCTGGTTAGGGACTATCTGTTGGGTAAACCAAACGCAGCTGGCGTATTCCAGAAGGTGACCGAACGCAGTTGTTATTTCCCGTGTTTCTATTGTATAAGGTACTTTGTTGAGCTTGATTGATTACTTTAGTCGGACGTACGCTAAGCCATTAGATGCACAATACCCCAGGCTTTGTTCGGTTAATTGTTATTTTGTTGATTCTCAATCTCTTCGGAAATTATTTACGATCGAAGTTTCGGTTTTTATTCATCGTTATACCATTATTAGCGCTCCGGTACAATTTGGAGGCAGAATGGAAGAATTCGTACTCACACCTACGCGAAATGGATCGCGAGGAATTGTTCGAGAAAGCCCGTAACGAGATACTTGATGATCTTATCACACTGAATGGGATCAATTCCGTCACATGGGAGAAGAATCTGCGTAACGAGCTTTGGAAGGAGTTAGAAGACTCCGTTTTCACCAACATGTTTGAGCCCGCGCAACAGTTGGATAATCTTGGGTAAGGTTCTTGAAGTTGTTACTGTTGTTTCTTGACACAATCTAATCACATCTTTCCGGGTCTTTCTCAAAGCCTTCTATATCATATAAGCAAAATTAATTGCTCATTGAGATTAAGGAGATTAGATGTCTCCGGTCTTGTATACGGAATTCCCAGACTCCCCGGTGCGGATTGATTTTTAGTAGCCCAACGACAAGTACCAGTATTGTGCCTGAACCGTTTTGGTCATCTGCAGTTCAACACTATGCTTATCTGTAGCTTAGAGTTTGATTTATCTGCGCAATTAGTTTCACTACAATTCCTTATGTGTTCATGTTGACGATGATATTCATGGAGACTCGCCCCATGATATGCTGTTGGAATAGAACATATTCGGGAAACCTTAAAAGGGACGAAGTCAGATTCAATAAAATAAAAATACTTATTTGCTGGTCGTATTATAATCTGACTAACTTGTCAACTTGATTGGTTTTGAATAAAAATGCCTGTTTGAACGCCAATCACAGTCACGTTCTACTCTTCGATCACATAGTCCACAAAGCATCACTCGTTTTTGTCCATCCACGTGATTGGTTGGTCGTCTATTCCTCTGAGGTACACTGAACGCGCAGGTGTGACAACCCTGGTAGGACTGTACTCGTAGAACAAGTGACTCTTGATTACGTTCCAGTGCTGGACTATAGAAGAAGCGATTTCATTATAACCGTGTTCTCGGAGTGACGGAAGCAAGTCCAGTGTGATAAATAGAACGCAAGTAACTCAAACAGAGAAGACATATTAATTAAGCGTCATCTATTTTATTTTCGGTTTACTGTATGACTCACCAGTTCTGAGTTCTAATACTTGAAATTTACTTAAGCGTTTTACGTAAAAATTGAATTGTCATTGTGAATCACTGGTGTCGCAGTCGGGGAAATACGGACAACCTTCGTAGATTAACCAAGAACTTAGAAGGGTTTTTTCGTAATGAAAAACTATATTTGTCGTAGTTTGGTAATTTGTAAAGAAATTCGTCCAATGTTGTGCACGTATATTCGGACACACTATGCATGGAGCTCCAAAAGGCAGTTGAACAATTCGTTCGCTATCCTTTTCGTTAGAAATTTGGCGACAATCGTCTGAGACCATTCAGGAGAAACTACGGGCCATTCCCGTTGATTACACAAAAAGTTCCACTGACCCACATGGCATCGTCGTGTTCACGTTTGATGAATTCAAATCCTGCTCGCAACTACGGACAATACGGACCCACAGATGGTGATTCGCTGTGGTTCACACGTCCATCGATTCGAACTATGCATTCGTTCATACTCTACGCTACCAGCCAAACTGAGAGACAGGTAGTTAAACTTGCCCAATGCAATAGTTACTTTCTAACAATAGTTGTCTAATGTTTGGATTGTGAAAAGATCAACAGTTTCGGTTGGGGTCCAGTCCACATACAGACACTAATGGCGCTCTTGTGCAGCACACCCTCTATTAGCTGAGCTACGAAGTCACACCGATAGCACCGATCTTTCCCTATTTGGATCTCCCACTCCAATTACAGAGCTGTATGGAGTTTACCAGTTACCTCATAAGCTGAATGGCAGCGTAGGTTTTCTTTAGAATCCCCCGGGATTCACGTCCCTGATATTAGTCTAAAGTACTTTTACAGTGGAAAAGATTGGATTTCGTACACAGTTTCCCTGTTGATTTCTTCTACTTTGAGGGCGGTAGTGTTGCATAGGAATGTGCCAGTTGATAAGTAAGTGTGTTTAACTTTGAGTCCATCACCGTGAATAAGCAATGGGTGGTGTCGTTTCTGGTCGGAGAAGTTGGTACTCGATAGGAATAATCCATGGTCTGTACAGAGTTGAAGTAGGCGATCCCTGTGTGGATTGCGTGCGGGCAGCCTAGGCACTTGTCCGATTCCTCCCACTTGAACACCGAAGTCTCCAAAAACAACTACGATGTTCGTTCACCGAACAATTTGGAGCCGTTGAGAAAAGTCCTTGTGGGATTCATCCTTCATTTCTGGCGAACTGCACTCGGTCGGTCCATACGCAGATACGAGGAATAAGCACCGACGCTCCGTTTGTGTAGCTGTTGACCTGCACTGAACCACCCAGACGTACAACACACAATAGGCCATTTACTGGAATCCAGTCAAGAAACGGGCGCTTAGCGCGACACCAGCAACACTGTGAGCGTCAGATGATTGATCACTTGACACACTTAGTACAAGGACAAGAGTAAATCTGATTAAAGTAAGGTTTTTATGCGTGTTCCGGAGACACAGCATACATCTCAGCTTTCTGGGCGATCTGTTAAAGCGTGCGGACGTTGATTGTGGTTAAGTGAACAGCAGATTTTGGTTTTACGAATCTTATAGCTTCTGATTGGTTGGCCTCAGGTGCCGAGTGACATCTCATGGATGGCGTAAACCGGAGGCATCTGGTATGATTTGAGAGCAACTAGAAGAACTATTCAGATGAAAACAAAGTTATTACAATTGGTTGCCTGAAACTTTAGGTGCACAATGTACATTGCGTCAAAATTTTTTTTTCTTTGGGAACGCTCACTGGAATCTTTCACTTGAGAGTCTGGCTCGCATAACCGAAATTCACAGGCTTTTCTTGAAAATCCCGGCCGGAGCCTTCGGCTCAAAAGTTTGACCCACAAGGAGGGAATTTGATCGAAGCAAGCCAATTATAGCTTCTGGAGACCTATCACACAAGGCTTTCGGATTTTGTTACAGTGTGTTGTTCACTGGTGCGTTGGTTGTTGGTCTGCTGTTAGGGGCCAGCCCCTATCCTCCGGCACCAAGTACGAGCGTGGATGGGACAGCACCTCATTGGCTGGGGGTTGCCCAACTTGGGTGTGGACAGCTGTCCAATGAAGTGTGAAAGCTTCTCTCATCGTTGGGGGAAGCCCCAGGCACCCCACTTCTATATCCTTGTAGGAGGTTTTTCTGACCGGTAAATTGCTCCTCTCCATGTATGTTTACGAGACTGGCCTCCCCTGGGGCGAAAGTGGATCGTCGAAGGAAACCAAGAAGTGCCCAATTAGCTGACCTTGTTCAGCTGAGTTTCGTCGTGCCTCTACTCTTTGATCCCTCAGGTATGATTGGATCTGTGACTGTGAAAAGCCATTTTGTACAGCGCGCACGGTCACGGGGGCACGCAAGCCATTACACTGCGTCAAGATGCAATCTCGTTGTGGGTGATCAAACTAAGACCTGGTAGGAATGCATGAAAACCCTGATCAGGGGACTTACTCGCAAAGATTGTGTCGGGGTTCCTGAATGGGGACCTGTGGATCAACTTAATTGATGGTTGGAGACATTGAGTGAGACGGCTGAGTGTCGCAAACAGTGGCACTGGTGCGTCTACTCAGTGTTCTTGCAACCTTAGTTTACACTCTGATTTTACGTTGACACTGCCTTCAACATTTCAGTCTTCCCTCGAGTGGATAGTCAATTGACATCTACCGAAACCGTCGCACGAAATTGCATTGTGAGTAGCTGTTTCATCTGATACTAAAGTGTATTTTGGAGTGCAAGAGGTTATTCAGTAGGTATATGGGTAATAAGAGGAACAACATCGCAGCTTGCAATTCATTCAGAAGGAGATAATATAATTTGTATTAATTTCTTACTGAGGTGGTTAGTGTTTTTAATATAATGTTCCCCATATTTTCAGAAGGGTCGTAAAATGCTTGCAAAGTGTTTTGATAGGGCATAGCTCAGTGTTTGTATAACCCATTATGGGCCGTAAGGGAGTATCTGCGTTATTATCTAAACTATCAACTCCCGAAACGTCATTTGATTTTCAATTCGATTGAAATCACTACGACATCAATTCTTGAAGTTTCTCGTAGTCGTCTCAAGCCCACGAGCTTGCTTTTGAGAAATATTTTGCCTACCCTCAGATCAATCAATAAGCGCATCCATTTTACACAGTCATTTCACATCTTGTTTATCGTTCATTGGTTAACTGACTTGAGAAAGGCCCTCCAATGGGATCGAAATTGTTTTCGGACCTTTCTCATCGGGGCTAATCCAGACAATCCTTTCCCGCTGTGCATTGAATCCTGAGGGAGGGGCACTGTCCTTACAAGTTTTTTTCTGATAGTGTTATAACTCTCTTATTCTGGATATACTTCTTTCTTTTTCAGTTGATTCCGCTGTCGTACTGTTCAGTGTAAAAAGAAAGATGAAATTGAGCACTTCTTCCCACATTATTCTCCTCCATCGTTCCCCTTTAAAGCGCCTATCAAACCAACATAGACATATGGCTGCGCGACTGGGTCGAGAAAGATTTACCTACTTCCTCAATCAAAGCTGGTTGGCATACGTTATACGACCAGTTGGATGATAAACTGCGTTCTGTTCAACGCGCTCCAGGGCATGATGCATTGTTCGATGAGCTCAAGGATAAGGTGCACCAAGAGGCCCGGAGTCGACATTCGTGGGACCAGAAGGCGGAAAATCGTTTGGTATGTGGGCATTTTGTGTGGTTTCATTTTGTCTGTTTGGCTCTACCAGACACTCGTTAGCTGTACATAACCATTTTTATTTCAATGAGAAATTGTCAGTTTTTTTGCATCGACCTACTTGAACTGGAACATACTAAGTGGTCCTCTGCTTTACTCATTGCCGTTCTACTTTTTTTAATTTTCACACGCGTCCGTGTGTATACTGTAGGCCAAACAAACCAAGAATCTTCATAGAAAAGATAAAAAGTCTATGATTTTCTTGAGTTCACGATGAT